GTTGAACCTTTAGGATATGAATTGAGCATTTAGGATATGAGTTGGACTTTTAGTTTATGTATTGGAATTTTAGTTTATAAATTAAAATTTTAGTATATGACTTGAACTTTTGTGGATATGAGTTGAACCTTTAGGATATGAATTGAGCATTTAGGATATGAGTTGGACTTTTAGTTTATGTATTGGAATTTTAGTTTATAAATTAAAATTTTAGTATATGACTTGAACTTTTGTGGATATGAGTTGAACCTTTAGGATATGAATTGAGCATTTAGGATATGAGTTGGACTTTTAGTTTATGTATTGGAATTTTAGTTTATAAATTAAAATTTTAGTATATGACTTGAACTTTTGTGGATATGAGTTGAACCTTTAGGATATGAATTGAGCATTTAGGATATGAGTTGGACTTTTAGTTTATGTATTGGAATTTTAGTTTATAAATTGAAATTTTAGGATATGACTTGAACTTTTGTGGATGTGAGTTGAACCTTTAGGATATTAGTTTATGTATTGGAATTTTAGTTTGTAAATTGAAATTTTAGGATACTTGAACTTTTGTGGATATGAGTTGAACCTTTAGGATATGAATTGAACCTTTAGGATATGAATTGAGCCTTTAAGATATGAATTGAACTTTTGTGGATATGAATTGAAACTATTGCGGGAGGATTTTGTAGAAGGCGTTGATGACTTTATTAGACATGCAATGGAACTTCCACCAAGAATAACTTAGACACAGTACCTGGCAGAGTGTGTTTTTAATTGTTGTTCTCATTAGCGACAATGATGATGAGAAGGCAATAGCATGTGTTTCAAATAGTGATGGTGTAGGTAGGAATTTAACATTTCCTAAATAGATAAAAGAAGAGGTTAAAGAAGAATTCTCTACTTCATTTTCCAAGAGGAAAAGAAGTTTAATTGAGAGTGACAAGGTTGATGATAATGGAAAGTTGTCCGTTGCTCATGGCAGTTCCTATAAAATAGGGATCATAAGACTTTGTGATGACAAAGACGAAAGGAAGTTTTATTCACAACTTTCTTCCAAGTCTGATCCGTACAAGCTTAATGGAATTGGTGATATTTCTTCGGATTCAGACAATGATTTGAGTGACAAAAGTATGGAAATGCAAATAAAAAGAATTAAAGATAAAACGTTTTTCTTGGAAGAGAAGGATGTTGAACTCTGCATGAACATGATATGTGCACTTTATATGCACTTTATAGTGCACATATCACGTTCATGCAGAGTTCAGCATCCTTCTCTTCCAAGAAAAATGTTTTACCTTTAATTCTTTTTATTAGTATTTCCATATTTTTGTCACTCAAATTATTGTCTGAATCCGAAGAAATATCACCAATCCCATTAAGCTTACGGATCAGACTTGGAAGAAAGTTGAGAATAAAACTTCCTTTTGTCTTTGTCATCACAAAGTCTTATGATCCCCGTTTTATGGGAACTCCCATGAGCAACGGACAACTTTCCATTACCATCAACCTTGTCACTCTCAATTAAACTTTTTTTCCTCTTGGAAAATGAAGTAAAGAATTCCTCTATAACCTCTTATTTTATCTATTTAGGAAATGTTAAATTCCTACCTACACCATCACTGTTTGAAACACATGCCATTGCCTTCTCATCTTCATTGTCACTAATGAGAACAACAATTGATCAAAGACACACCCCTGTCAGGTACTGTATCCAAGTTATTCTCTGTATCCAAGTTCATCTCGAGTAATAGTACCACGAGGATAATCACCAAAGCCACCAGACAGCTTTATGATGCCAATGAAGCAAAATGAGCTATACAATGTGACTCGTATTGCAAAGAATAAGAAAGAGACTGATCTAGAAAGGTGGGTCGAGGGTTGATCCTCGACTATACATGTAAGTTTTTTACTTTTCATTAAGTATTTTGATTTACTTTTATATAAATTTGAAATACTAATTCAATATAATTTTTCATATAGGTTCGCTTCACAGTTGATGTGGGGGAATTCATACGCAGTCAGCCACCTAATGAGTCGGGCGAGGCAATCCAACTTTAGGACGAGGATGCTGAAAGAACACTCCTTGATTACTTTATATACTTTGAACTAGACAATAGAACCAGTTTTCGAATGGACTTGTAATAAGCGTTAATTTAGTTTTGTTAGCTTAATGTGTTAGTTCTATTGAATTTTATACTTTGTTGCTTTTCACTGTTGTTGTTGTTGTTGGCATAAAATGTCTGTTTAGGATTTTTTGTAAGCTGGCAGGTTGTGTAGCTGCCAAAACAGGCAGTTTCTGCCAAAAATATACCAAGAAAAACGACCAACTTTGGTCGCTAGGTGATTGCTTTTCCCTTAAAAAAAATAATTTTCTGGGCAATAGCGACCAACCCTGGTCGCTATTTAACCCAGATTTCTCAAAAGCGACCAACTTTGGTCGCTATTCCATTTTTAAAAAAACAATTTCTTGAAATATAGCGACCAAAGTTGGTCGCTTATAATTAAAAAAAATTATTTCTTGAATTTAGCGACCAACTATGGTCGCTTATTTTTAAAAAAAAATTAATAAAAAAGTGACCAATCTTGGTCTCTATTTTTCAGATTTTAAAATATAATATTTGGGTTAAAGACCAAAGTTGGTCGCTTTTTTATGATTAATAATAAATAAATAAAAACGTATTTTACATTTAGAGACCAACTTTAGTCGCCAAAATTATATTATTAAAATAATAAAGCGACCAAAGCTGGTCGCTATAGTCTTTACCCGGAATATTTGGTCCTTTTACCTTAGAGACCAAAGTTGGTAGCTAATTAGCGACCAACTTTGGTCCCTAAAATAAAGGGACCAGCAATATTGCGACCAAGCATGTTTGGTCGCTTTTTGGTCGCTTTTAGGCGTATAAGCGACCAACTTTGGTCGCTTTTTGTGGTCGTTTTTTCCGGAATTCTAGTAGTGGTGGTTGTGGAGTCCACTTGATTCCCTAAGTGTGCCACCTAGCAATTTAAGCCAAGGAGTCATTGTTTGATCTTAACAATTTGACTCCTTGCTGCCACGTTGGTGATGTGTTAAGCTTATCCACCAAATAATTATCCATAAAATTCAATTTACAAGTTAATCTCACGCTTAAAAATTCATAATTACCCAATTATCCACATAATTAAGAATTATCTCAAATTACTTAAATACTACTCACTTTTAACATACTTTATACATCTTACTATCATGGTCATGTGGTACCTTGTATGGCACTAGTCCATAAATGTCGGGTCTTATAGCTCGGACCGTATTTTATCCCAAATTGACAACCTCAAAAATAATCTCATTTCCGAGCTTACGTCGATTAACTTACGACGAAACGTTAGCGTCCGAAAATGCGGGATATAACATCTCATTTCCGAGCTTATATCAATTTACTTATGGCGTACCTCCACGTACGAAAACATGTGGTGTAACACAACCAAATATTAAACTTATAATTATACTGTCATTACACTATGACAAACAAACAGACTAGGTTGTGTAATTACTAGGGTAGTAATTACCCCAATTTCACTTACCTGGCGGCTTTCCAAACTGACCCTTAAGGAACTATTTTAAATCTACGGCAAAACGTAAGAGACGATTTTGTTGTTTTCTCAGTGACTTGGGACTGATTCTCGACGGCGAATCCCACAAAATAACGATAATGCTGGACGGACATATAGGAATTGCACCAAGTACCCGCTTTGAGCACCCCTATTTAAGCCGGGCCACTTTTTTCAAACATATTTAAACTTTATTCTCATGAGAGGGACTTCAGACAAAAGCACTATTGCTTCCTCCTCCTCCTCCTCCATCATCGTGGTTATCAATTATAACATAGGCAACCTACATAGTCGGAAAACTAGAAGTTGATTGCAGAAGCAATTTCATGCGTCAGGCGTTAATATAAGTTGGAAAAAATTGTTTTGCTGCTTAATTCTACCAATGGATCAGTAACTTCAAGTAAGTAGTTGCGGCCTAGCACCTGTAATTGTGGTGTATGTCTTAAAGTCTTAGTTCCCTTCCTGGTTGACTAATCCAGAAACATAGGAGTCAAGGAGTTTACCGGGCACAGCAAGAAAGGGAATAAGACCGAAAATTTCGGGAAAAATTGTCCTTACTTGAAAGTTGAATCTTTACAAACTTTGCAACGGTAGCATTGCCTTTTTGTGATATAAACCGCTTAAGCCGCAACTAGTTGAAAAAATTGAAAATTTTAACTTCTATAGCAAAGCTTTACACCTTTTATATTATAAATAAAAGGAAAAAAGGCTATTATTGCTCCTATACTATTGAAATTAATGCACGTTTGTCCCCCGTTTCACTTTACGTTCAATCTCTACCCTACCGTTAATAAAAGTTATGTAATTACCCTTAAACATGATGCCTCGTCAATGTGGCAGCTGACCCCCTCTCTTTTTTCCAAGTCAGCTGCCAACTCAGACTTCCAATAAGTTATAAGCCCCAAATGCACTCCCAACTCAAATTGACCCAATCCCACTCCCAACTAGATTGACCCATAACTCGTAACCATTTGCCACTAAATAAATAGAATTAACTCGTCTTAAAACACTTTATTCACCTCATTTGGTCGAACCTTCTGGTACTTAAAAAAAACGAGAGAACCAAACCGGTGAGGATCCTTGCTTCCAGTGGCAATTTCAAGTAAGGGTAAGAAATTTTTCTCCAAAAACTTGATGTTTTTGTTAGTTTTATCTCTTTCTTGTTTTATCCAAAAAACATTTCCCAAGAAAGTTTTATTGTCCTTTTGAATTCCTTTCAGATTTGTTCTTTGTTGGTTAGGGATTTCAGTTCCCCTTTTCTTTTTCGATTATTTGAAGCTGATAGGTGTGTATAGTCGTCATAGGATTTCTAATTTTTTTCTAGTTTGATAATTATTGAAGTTAGGGTTTATAGAGTAGTTCTTGGTTGGTTAGGGTTTTCACTTCTCCTATCTTTATCGATAATTTCAAGCTGGTAGTGTGTGTTTTGCTTTTGGAGAATCTGGAAGGTAGTTTTACTGATGAATATAATAATTTGGTGGCATATGTTAATGAATTGAAGTTTAGTAATCCTGGAAGTGATGTGGTAGTTAACTTATCAAAGGATGCTCTTGTTGAAGGCAAGAGAAGGTTCCTAAGGATGTACATATGCTTTCATACAATGAAGATGGGGTTTAAGAGTGGGTTGAGGCCCTTTATAGGGTTGGATTAAACTTTTTTGAAAGGGAAAGTTAAGGGTCAGCTTTTGGTGGTAGTTGGTCACGACTCTGCAAACCACTTTTATCCATTAGCTTGGGCTATTGTGGATAAAGAAACAAAAGTCACAAGAAAGTGATTTTTAAATCATCTACAAATGTCACTGGACCTTAAAATGGGTGAAGAAATACTTTTATTTCAGATATGCAGAAGGTATGAACACTTTACTTCATTATTTTATTATTTTACCAATCTGTATATAGGGATTCTCATACTTCTTCTTTCCTTTATATGCAGGGGATGATTGATTCAATCTCAGGAGTTCTTCCTGAGGCACACCACAGATTTTGTGTTAGACACATAGAAGCAAACTAGTGCAAGAGATGGGGATTTGGGGAATACAAGAAATATCTGTGGTGGACAGCTTGGAGTACCTATGAAGAGGACTTCCAAGATCAGTTGAAGAGTATAAGCCAAGTGGATCATGATGGTAAAGCTATTGTTGAAGATCTATTAAAGTATCCACCTACTTGCTGGAATAAGGCCTTCTTTGATACTACCTGCAAGAACCAGTCAATGGATAATAACCTGACTGGGTCCTACAATGCATGGATATTGCAATCTAGACACAAATCAATTATAAAGATGTTAGAAGAGATCAAAATCAAGGTTATGAATATGTTGAATGATAATAAAGTTGAAGTGATGGGGTGGGGAAGTGAATACAGTCCAAAGACTCTAAATTTGTATAACCAATTTATGAGGATTGCACAAAAGTGTCATGTGAATGGCAGTGCTGACCAAGGTTATGAGGTGACAGAAGGTAGTGATAGGCATATTGTCAATCTGGGGGGGATGCACTTGTAGGACATGGGACCTTTGTGGAATCCCATTTCCACATGCAATCTGTGCCCTACTATACAAGAAGGTTGATCCTTTAAGTGAGATTCACGGGTACCTTTCCAAAGAGGCATATCTCCAGACTTATTCTCATAAGTTACAACCTGTGAGAGGAAAAAGTTCTGGAAGATAGAGCCCTCCCAGAATATGGAATCACCTGAATTTATAAGGCAGGCTAGCAAACCAAAGTAAAAGAACAAGAGAGGCAAATGAGTCAACCAATAGGCAAGAGCAATGGTCTCAATCCAGAAAAGGGAGAGTAATGACATGTAATAATTGTGGAGAACTTGGACATAATGTTAAGAGATGTGCCAAGGTAATCTATCTCTTGAACAATAACTTTGAACTTCTATTTTATTCTGCCTTGTTCTAACATATAACTGTGTTCTATTTGATAATAGCACTCTAAAGGAAAACAACCAATGGGTGGCAATTCAAGGGGAAAGCAGAAAAAAACAAAGAACTTTGGTTGATGAACCTGAAGATGACTTCCATTTATCAGCACCCCAAACAATTCAAAACAGTCAGTCCAGCAATTTTGTGTTTATGCCAACCCCTACAGTTCAAAGGCAGCTTCCAACTAGCAATGATCCAAATTTTGAGATCCCTAACTTTGAACCTGAGCCTGACATAGCTATAAAACCAAAGAGCATCTCAGAAGCAAGGACAAGACTCCAGTTGAGACAGCAAAGTGTACCAACTGCAACCAGGCAAATTAGATTTGTTGGTGATTGTAAGTCAGTCTTCAAAGCTTACTTTTTCAGCAAAAAGCCTAACATGGCTGGAAATTTGTCATCACTGGAAATCAGTTGAACAAACAAAGGTTGAACAAGTTGAAAGCAAGAAAGGGTAGTGGTAAGGAGCAAAAGTGGTGGGACTTTGCTTCTAGTATTGAACATTTGTAAATTTTTAGATATGTTGTAATTACTGCCATGCCAGTAAACTTTATGTTTTGGTTATGGTTCTTTAGTTGTGACAGTTGGAGGCCATAATATAACTAGGTGTTGACATCTTTTTGGGGTTATAATATGGTATACAGTTGTCTTATTAAACTCACTTTATGAATGTTGATAGTTGGTGAATATTATGAATGTTGACAGTTGGTGTTCAGTTAATTATTGTCCAATTTGTTCCCTTTTAAATTTCAGTTTTTCAGTTATCTAGTTATCAATTTTTACGTCTAGAATGTAAGTTTTTTAGTTTTACACTTGTTATTTTTTATTTCAAATGAAGTGGATTGGAAGCAATTTAGAACATGCCATATAGAATCTGCAACTTGCCATTTAGAATCTGCAGCTTGGATTGCTGCTGTCTTTTATGTCTTTTGTTTTTCAGTTTTGCACTTGGAATATAGTTATTCAACATGACAAAATAGAATCTATAGAACATGGCTGGAAATGGAACCTTAAAGTTTCTATACTATAATATACTATCATATCTTATAAAGAAAACAAACATTTTTAGGATTTGGAGAAGAAAAACTCTGTCTTTAGGGTATACAATAAGGGAAAAAACTAACCAACAAATAATACTATTACAATATGGCTTATTTGACCTAAAAGTCAGCGATACATATAAAACTCAAATCACCAACTTTGAATTTGCAAAAAAGTCACTTCATCATCGAGGCTGCAAAATAACCAAAAAACAGTCCCCAAGAAATCATAAGCAACATCATTGTCTTTGCAAGTTTATCTTCCGACTTGACGACTTTATCCACTTAATATTGGTGTATAGCCTTCATGTCAATTACTTCTTCATTCAATTTGTCCTTTTGCATCTTAATCTCCTCCATCGACGATGTTACATCTTTAATATTAGTCCAATCATTTTGCCGGAAGATTTTATTTTCCCATTTCCAAAACCTACATGAACTAGGCTGTCAAACATAATTCAAAAAGAAAATTTAGGTAATAATTACAAAACTCTAAACTTGTAGATTTCAAAATTACAGTAAAATTATAAATAAAAAAAGAAACTGAAATATGGTAACCTTAGCCTTAGACATTTGTAGAATTTTCTTTCAGGGTCATATAGAGTAGATGAAGTGAAGTTGTTGGCTATAATGCCACAAAGATACCTAATCTGTGATGAACAGGTACCTTGCAATATTTATCAACCAAAGCTACGACGAGAATAAAGAAAAGAGAAATCTTGGAAAGACTTCAGTCGAGCCCTAAGTTCTTAGCAATGGAGTGTATTTTGGGGGAGAAAAGAAGACGTTGGGTACCGGTCAAATTACTGGGAGTGAAATTGGGTTTGGGGGACTAAATAGCCGTTGGGTTTGGGACTTATAACTTATTGAAAGTCTGAGTTGGCAGCTGACTTGGAAAAAAAGAGGGGGTCAGCTGCCACATCGATGAGGCGTTAGGATTAGGGGTAATAGCATAAACTTTATTAATTGTAGGGTGGGGATTGAAAGTAAAGTTTAATGGGGGACGAATGTACATTAATTTCAATAGTACATGAGCAATAATAGCCTTTTTCCTAAATAAAATTCATTTAAAATATTATTTTCTATAACTACCTTTTTGTTTTTATAGCAAAATATCTATTTATAGTCACTTCCTACTGTTAAGCCATTAAATATGTTGTCTAATATTTTTCTCTATCATTCTTTCAGTTTATTCTCTCCCAAAATCAGGTATAGTATCTTATTTCTCTCTTCACGATCTCTCTCTCATTCTTTCCTATATGAACCAGAAAACTGGTTTCTTCCGACAGACGGTGAGTTTTTCCATGATTTTCATGGTTATCTCTACTCTTAAGCCATGAAAACAGTGAATTTTTCCATGATTTCCTGCAGGTTTTCTTACCATCCTTTTCAAAATTGTTCTTTCCCAATTCCACAGGACGAGGAGGCGTGACACCAAATTTTTTCCCTTCCGATTCATGATTTCTTGCTTCTGTCAAGAACTATAAAATTGTGCAAGTCGTAAATCATCAACACATTGTTAGTTCTATCATTTTGATGTTATTCATCAATTAGTTATGCATTCAATCTAACTGTATTCATCTGTATTTTAAACCTAATTGTATCCATCTGTATTTAAAACAACAATACAGTAAAATACTCTCAATACAAATAGCAAATCAATGAATATAGCCAATGAAATATACTCAATAAAGCAGTAAATACCATGTATTAGGAATAAATAAATATCGTGAATACATTGAACACAATTGTTAGATACAACAGAATACAAGCACTAGGTTTATTATGAAATATGCATGCAGTAGGTACTATTACAGTTTGTATCCGGCATAAATACATGGTGTATTCATATACAGAAAACCGAATTTCAAAATATTTCTATAGATACTTATATTAATTCCAAGCAGAACCTCGAAAAATGTTAGGAAAAAAAAAAGAAAAAAAAACTCGAATTGTATCAGAAAAAAAGAGGGACTGAAATTCTAAAGAAAATGCTCTGTTTTTGGTGTTTAGCGTCTGATAAATATTCTCATTAATTGGATTGATAATGTTGTGTGTTATAATTGATTTAGGCAAGTTATATTTGGAGTGTATCCCGTTAAATTAGCAGTTTTTCGTTATTAAATAACTTGAGAGACCTATTATTACATTGTATTCATGAATACATGTGAATACAGTGGCTGACAGCTGGACTGCCCTATTTTTTAGCCGATTTTACTACTGTATTCATGAATATAGTAGCTCGAATACATTACTATAACAACTGAAAGGTAGCTATAGAAAGTAATTATATATATGGTAGCTATAGGAAGTTAATAACCACTAAACAATAGTCATTTCTGAAAATTCCTCTTAAAAATTTGCCAATTTTAAACATTTGAATCTGAAGCTAGGGTAAGCTTTAATCACAGCTCCAAATTTTCAATGGTTGAGGACTACCAATATGCTAACTTCAAACATCACGGTCCGAAGTTAGACTAGGCAGGATCTCGATCCCAACTTGACAGTTCAGACCCGCATGTCTAAAGTTTTAAGAAATTTTTATATTCCTATACACTATATGAAATTATATTACCCTCCCTGCTCAAGTTTTACTATAATTATATTTTATATATCTAATTACCATTTATGTACATTTTAATGAAATTAATGATAATAATTAGTGTCCTAAAATAACTCTAACGTATCTTCCACTCCCCCCACGTTTCTCTCTCCACATCTCAACCTCATCCCCCATGTATCTTGCACTCAGCCACGATTCCACCATTGACAACCATTAAAAAGCTTTGAAACTTTGAATTCAAATTTGGGTTTTCAAAAAACATTATTTGTTTGAATTGGGTGTTATAGAAAAGAATTAGAAATTCTCTCCACGTCTCTCTCTATCTCTCAATCCCTAATTTCAGTAATGTAAAGCAAAGGAAAAGAGAGCAGCAATTCCACCATTGACAGCCATTAAAAAGCTTTGAAGCTTTGAATTCGAATGTGGGTTTTCAAAAACCATTATTTATTTGGAATGGGTGTTGTTGCAAACAATTGGGAATATGGTTTGGAGTTTATATCTCAATTTTGAGGGTATTTTGGTGAAGATTAGACATGATTTTGGCTGAATTTTAGATTGAAAGAAGAAGAAGAAGAAGAAGAAGAAGAAGAAGAAGAAGAAGAAGAAGAGGAAGAAGAAGAAGACATGATATACCTTATATTTACGAAATTATAGTAAAACTATAGAAAATTTATATATATATAATTCAACTATTGTATGAAAATTGAACAATATTTTATAAAAATTATGTTTAAGTTGTATGATATTGTAGTTGTATATAACTGAGTAGAAATAATATATGAAAATTGTAGATAAGGTTGTATAATAAATAATTAGTTGTATGAAATTTATTTTTACTATATATAAATTAGATATAAAATATACAAAAGACATATTGTATAAATTTTGTATAAAATTTGTATTTATGTTTTATATTATTGTAATTGTATTTAACTTGATAGAAATAATATGTAATAGTTATAGATAAGTTGTAGATAATTTGTATACGGTGCAAAGTTGTGGAAAATCTTTAGTTGTGAATAATTCTGGGCCTAGTCCTAGCATTGGCCATAATGAATATGAAGATTTTGAGAACTCTATTACTAATATTGAAGATGTTGAAGTTGATGGTCTGCATTCGGGTCCTAGTCCTGGTGATGGGCATAAGTATTTAACTTCCTCAAAGTTACGTTACCCAGATGTTCTGTAGAAAGTTATCACTACTTCTCAAAAGTCAGGAAATATAATATAATTATAATGCAAAAGTACGTAGATTATTAACTGTGCAAGAAAGAATACGGAGAGAAGAGGGGAGAGAGGAGAAAAAAAAGGAAAAAGATATAACTAAATCCCTTGATTGAAGGCACAAATAATGATTTGGGAACCTTTTAAGGTGGATTGTATATATTTTATAAATAAAACTTGTTTATGCCGAATAATTAACTAACACATGGACATTTAGGGTAATAAAGTTTTCAATAGTGTATAGGAATGAAAAAATCCCAAGTTTTAAACCTCAAACCCGCATTTCTCATCTCCACTCTCATTACAAAAAACATAGTAATCATTAATTCATACTAAATTCATATTTCAATCTAATGGCTACATCAATGCGCAGGTGAAATACTCTACAAATTCATCTAACTTTATCACCATTTAACACCTCATTTAATTTAAATATTTACCATTACTTTAAAGATTTAAACACTTTTATGTTTAAAATAGAAGCAAATCTGAAACCAAAGAAAATGAACTCCAGCATATTTTTTGACAATCGAACAACACAACAAAAGGTAAACATTTCTTTTTAGACAATTTCATTAAAACCTGAAAAATAAAAATAAAAAACTAGTTAATTTGGAGCAAAAGGAGTCAACCAGTTAAATTGTAACACAAAGGATCCAATTTCTACCACACCCCTCCCTCTTGCACAAAATTGGTACGACGAGCAAATTTTGAAAAGAAATAAAAGACAGGCACCGGAAATACTATGTTATTAACGATCAAATTCCCCTTTTTGGCCATTAAAGCATGATAACATCACCAAAGAGACATAAGCTTTAAAGGAACTATACACAGAACAATCCTTCATTGCCATACTGAAGGGTATAAGCTATTTACAGTTGATTGCAGTATTATGTGAGTTTTTCGCGTGAGGGGGACCCCAATTGGTGCATGGAAAGGATTAGAACTCGATCCCACTGTTCAACTGAACGGAGAAGGAAGGCCGGACAGTGTTGCCAAGAGGTGTTTCAACCTTGAAAACCAACCCTGAACTCCCAACATTTCCATTCCACTTTGATCGCCCAAGCTGCATTTGCGCAAGATAGAGGCATTATGTCAAAATAAAAGAATATAATTAACTTAATTCGGCCAATCAAGAGGCAATGAGAGCAAAGTGACATATAAAGACAAGCGAGACACGGTGTCTGGCAAATCANGGTTCATACTAACAAAAACTACTTATCAACATGAAAGAAGGAAGAAATGAAGAATACTTCATCAAGAGATGAAGACAACTATAACTTACTGTACATGTAAGCAGAATGCAAGTGCTATGAACACAATTGCTAACGCGCACAAGCAAGTCACATATACTGGAGAAGAGACCAGGAAATTGCTATGACAACTGAAAGTGGAAGCCTTACATAAAAATATAGAGAACTTCTAATGAAAAAAACTCCGCAATTGTGGAGTAAACATCTCCATATTGCTAGTGCCACTTCACCATTGGATGCTGGTGCCAACACCATGAACAGAAAACCACACTAGCATAAAAGTTCAGTGCTTAACAAATATGAATCAACCAGTATTACCTTAATTGAATGGTTGGCCTATACATGAGACCAGATCTCTTCCAAGCTAAAGCCTGGGTGACCCCAAAGCTAAATGATTTGTCAGGCAAATGCATCATTGGCATAATGCACGTTCCATATTTATTCTACATATAATAAGAGAAAAGTATATTAATCTTAAATAAAACAGTTGATGAAGTGGCTGAAAAAAGTACAGAAGTCATCAAATGTCAAATACTTCCTTGCATCATACACCTCACCTTGCAAGAGAAACTGAACTTGAGCTCCCCTGGGTATTGACCCTGGGCTTGGAGCAGACCTCCACATAGAGGTAAAAAAGCACTGGTGGAAACGCCCTCCCCAGCCACATAAGTTATTTGACCATTTGGAAATTGCAAGTCCATAAACGACTGGAAAAATAAAGAGAGTAAGTTGCTAATACATTGAGTAATTAAACTTCCAAATCCACAAAAGCAACAGTGAAGAAAAGCATCTGAGTTTAAATCAGCGGGCCCATACCCACCAAGTGGAAAAAACAGATTACTCGGTTATCCAAAGAAAAAAAAACCTAAAATTTTCTGCAAAAGAGAAATTTTCGTGCTCACTTATGTTACATGTTCTTGCTTGTGTTAAACTTAGCATGACCAACAACAGACAAGTTACTGAAGATTAATATTTCAACACCCCATCCTGAATAAAATATCAGGGTTCCGAAGTTTACTCCAATCACCAAGTCTTTCACATGCATGTGCTAAATCCAAAGCAGTATCAGAAATTTAGCACTGGGAAATCATCGAGGTTAAGAAAGTATCTTGAGACAATAACTGTTTTTCCTAGGCCTTCAAATATTTAAGACAGTTAAACATAGCTAGGAGGGTACAGAGTTAATAATTAAATTCTTAGATCAAGTCGAAGCTACTCCAGTAGAATATATATTGAAGGAACTTACAGAAAAAAAAGGAATATTCGTTGAACGATCCACAAATGACTAATACTAATTGAAATGCTACGCACTGTCGCATTTTTGAAGTCATTGATGAATTCCAGTCTTCTTCGTTCTTTTCTAATGAGCATTCCTCATTTTGATGGCACAAGAGGTGCAAAAAGAAATGCTCAATTAGCGACTTGGGGATATTGGAGAAGTACGATCTCTCAGTAAACACTTATAGAAGTGGCATTATAGGTGCTTTTTTTATAGAGAACCATGTATTGGTGCAGGTTCTCTACTTTGCATAAACAGCTTGTATACGAGGACTTTCCCACCTACCAATGAAGTTTATCGGGAAAAAAAAGTACACTCAGGACTGAAGAATGTGGAGTATGCCTCTTATTAGGCAACTGAAAACTCAATGCAATATTATTATGCTCTTCAAACAGCCGAAAATATGATTTTTGGGGGGGGGGG